TGTGACGACGAGGGCCACAAGACGAAAAAAAAAAAAAAAAAAAAAACAAAACAAAAAAAAAAAACTCTCAAAAAAAAGAATAAAGAAAGAAAGAACAAATGGAGTTTTTTAAAAATCATAAATTTCCCAAGGACCGAATAAACCTGGTGGAGTTGGAATAAGCAGCTTGGGCTCTGGCAACATTGCCCGTCTGGTTTAGACCATGCACTGCAATTGTGGGGCTTTGGGGGAGGCCGGGGGAGGTGTGTGGGACCTCCCTGTACATTTCTTCGCAACTTACTTTGAATCAATAACTATTTCAAAATAAAAAGTTACGGATGGATGGATGGATGGATGGATGGATGGATGGATAAGTGGATGGACAGAAACACGGACTGACAGGCAGACCAAAGAAGGCTGACGATGAGATGCGTAAGGCCCAGTTGACTTCTTCTGCTGTGCATTGAACACTGCCAAGAGCCCCAGAACAGAGCCATGCTCTATGTAGGGACTCTGCACAGAAACCCCGGGCCGTGGTTTAGTCTGTAGCCTACACAGGGGGAAACAGAGGCTCACTCGTCCAGAGAGGGGGTCTCGGGCTCTGCAGAGCACACCTGGGGCTCCGCCACTCGGCCTGCTATGGCAGGGAGAGCCCACCCTGACCCCTGCCTTCAGGTGACCTTGCTACCCCGAGCTGCGCTTGGGCCTGGAAGGAGTGGCGGCTCCCCCCGCCCCACCCCAGTAGGCTGTCTCAAGGTACAAGCCAGGGGCTGGGTGCCCGCGTGGCTGGAGCTGCCCAAGAGGCAGGCAGGAGAGTGGGCATGTCCTCTCTTCATCTCTGTGCTCACCCAGACCTGGCCACGAGGACACTCCTCCCTGACTGGGGTCACATCGAGGCACCCACCCTAACCAAAGCCTTCTCTCCCTTTTACAGAGCTGAACTTCATCACCCAGAGCCAGCGAGTCATGGGCCACATTTTCCACACCCTGACATCTCTCATTTAACCAGAAGACGTGGAGGGGTGAGTTGGAGATGGGGGTTGTGTTGCAAGGCAAGGGTTTGGGGTGTGAATGGAGGGTCGCTGAGCAGGGGGGCAGTGCTGCCAAGCAATTACCGTCCCTCCGCGGTCCTGTCGGGAGCTGGTTTGAGGAAATCCACGGATGGCCTCTTGCATTGGAATTGGAAGTGTGGTGTAGACCATGGAAGAGGAAGGCTGTATCTCCTCCCACTGTGGGTAGTTGTGAGTCCAGGGTCTGCCCCATCCGGTCACTGGCACTGGGGAGCCCAAGCAGATCTGACGCTGCCTCTGCTCAGGGAGGACAACCTGGTGGCACATGAAGGGCCGGCAACCTCACCTGGCCTGGGTTCGTTCTTCGACCTTCTGGGCTGTGCACGGAGCCTCAGGGCTGGGTGGCCAGGAGGGCTCGCTGGGCCAGTGCTCAGGCCGAAGAGAGGACAGTGCAGCTGGGGAGCAGTGTATGATGGGTGGTCATTAACTCGGGGGCTCGGGACCAGCAGATGGCATCGTGGTTACATGGCTGGACTCCCACACAGTTGACCGCAGTTTGAGTCCCGGACCTGCCAGCTTAAAACTCATGCCAGGTGCGTGTGCGTGCATGCCCAAGATTCATAGGGGAAAATGGAGGAAAAGGGATTGTATTGTGGCCATTCCCTTGGCAATGATAGCTCGCTTTCTGTCTGTCTGTCTGTATGGCAAGCATATGCTCTCTGTAGCAAAACTCTCAAAGACAAGAACTTTGGGGGGTGGGGAGGACTGGGACCAGCAAATGGCATACTGGTGACGTCACTAAACTTCCACATGGCTGACTACAGTTCAAGTCCTGGACCCAGTGGCTTGAAAATTATGCCAGGTGTGGGTGCGTATGTATCCAAGATCCCAGGAGGAGAGTGGAGGAGAAGAGATTGCAGCTTGGCCATCCCCCTGGGGAGTGATTTCTTGCTTTCTGTCTCTCTGTCTCTCTCTGTCTTTTGGCAAGTACACATGCCCTTGCAAGAGCAAAAAACCTCGTCCCCCAGAAAAAAAGAAGTTCTCTAAGCCAGAGCCCAGAGCCATCATCTCCTCCGCCCTGCAATTAAGTAGCCCTTTTCACAGAGGAGACAGACCCAGAGAGAAGCAGCTTTGCAGCCGGGATGCAGCTCTGAGGTTCTGACCGTGCCAATATAGTTGGTCTCCTGCTACCTCTGGGGCCTGCCCACCCTGAGGAAGAGGAGCAGCCCCAGACCCTGCTCGGGGGAACAGACAAGTGGGCTGGCTCCACGCCTCTCTCCTCCACCTGCAGCGATCACCCAGATATTTTGCTTCATTGAAGTTTGGTTTCTTGCCCAAGCACTTTGGGACTCACCAGATTGTTTCTAAACACATTACATAATTGCTCACATATTTATTTAATGCCGTCTCTTGAATATTAAAACGACCGATAGTATAGAACAGAAACACGGGCATCTGAACCCATCAGCTTTGACAGGCGTGGGTGGGGCAGGAGGTGGAGGACAGCCATCTCTGAGTTATCCGTGGGGGACGTGACACCTTCCTTCTCCTCCTCGAGACGGTAGAAAGGCTTCCATGCCCGTAGTTGGCAACCACCGTGAGGTTCAACCTGTTTGTTACATAATAAAGACTCCCATGATCTTGTAAGGGAGGCCCGAAACCGGGGCCTGGCCACCTGTTTCTTTGCTTACAGGTGTGTACTGAGAGCCTCTCTCTGCAGTCTCCACTGTCCTTTTACTCACCCCTGGGGTGCCCTTGAGAATAGGACAAGAGACCCCTGTCCTCGGTGGGGCAGGAGAGGGCTGTGCAGGACCCGGGTAGGTCCAGTGGGCAGAGGAGCACTCATGGGCTTGTGCAGGCCGGGCATAGAGGGCCTCTGTGTGCAGTTTGCATTGTGATCTGCATGCAGAGGCCAGGCTACCAGACTGGACGGGTCTAGAGAGCAGATGATTGTGAAGAAACATTCCCCTGCAGCAGGGAGAGGGCAAGGGTGAGGGATGAGTTGGATCACGCTGCAAGGCCTGGGGTGCTGGGGGAGTGGACAGTGAGGGCACAGGAGAGGCTGCCTGGCCCCAAATAGTCACCTTCTAGCTTCAGAAGTGCTCTGTTCAAGGTGACCCTAAGTTTCTCCTAGGGCAGCTGCTGCGGGTCTGGCCTGACCACCAGTTGCAATCAAGTCACACCGATCTCAGTAATAATATTAGCACCTAGGGGTTACTGAGCCTCCGCTGTGAGCAGACGGGCACCCTCGCCGCCAGTCCACTACATATGTAGTCATATCATCCCCGTTCCCCAGAAGAGGGACAAGAGCAGTTACATCAAATGCCAAGGGTCGCTCAGCCAGGCAGTCACAAAGGGGGGATTTGAGCCTTGTCTGCAGGACTCCACACAAACAGCCTTCGATCCCTGGTGGCTGATGGTCACAATAATCATTGTCAACCCCTGGACACAGCACTTACTACAGGCCAGGCCCCCTTCTAAGTGCTTTAAAAATATTAACCATGCTGTCATGGCTTAGAATGGGGCCTGGCCTGTAGCAAGTGCTATGTCCAGGCATGATCACGGTCCCCGTTTTACAAAAGAAGAAACTGAAGCACGAGGTGTTAATTCACTTGCCCTCGTTGGGAGTTGAACCCAGGTGGTCTGATAATGCAGCCAAAGTGGAGGAGGCAGCATCTGTCAGGACCCACCACCCTGCATGGCCCCGCATTTCCAAGTGTGGGGTCAAAGCCACCAGCTGCTCTACAGTACACGGAGCATCCTCCCGGGCCAGGCGTGATCAAGCCCTGGATGGCCATGAAGAACTGAACTGTCCCCACGAAGGCTCCTCTGACCTCCATAGGTCAAAACAGAAGAGCCTCCCAGAGCCTGACCCTGCTGCGGCCGAGATAATCCCAAGACAAGTCAGCCTGAGTGGAGAGACGTCAGCTCCTCAAAGAGATGCTCAGGAAATCCCATCCCTGTCTTCGCCAGCAGGAGCATCTCAAGAGAAAACAAAACAAGAGAGGTTAATTGAATCAGAAAACGTTTATGGAACTTGTTTGACTCCGAGTCTGTGCCAGAACACCCAGAACATCTGTAGTAGAAACCCCTTTCAAATAAAAATGACAGGCATTCTTCCTCATAAGTAAGTGCCACTGGCAGAGTTCCCATGGCAGAGCAACGTGTGAGGAGGTCACAGCCGACGCCAGTTTATAAAAGTCTTCCCTCTTTAAACTGTGGATAGAAATCCCCATTAGCGAGGCAACACTGTGGACGCAGTGCATGAGAAAGTGCTTTGGAACAGGTGACAGCTTGCTCAGATGAGGACTTGCCTTGTGCTCAGGGATTCCTACACAGCTCATCCTTCCAGAAGGTTGGACTATGTCTTTGCAATCCTGTTTTCTTGGTGAGAGAATCAAGGAAAATAGGAGCCCTGGTCAGATCTCCCCAGAGTCTGAAATCCAGGGGACACAAAGCAAAGAGGTTGAGTTAACACCCCAAGGCCCTGGTGACAGCTTGTGGGTGAGGGAGAGCTATTCAGTAGTGTCAGCTGGGGGAGGCGGCGTGGTGTGATGGGACAGCTCCACTGCAGAACTCCCCCCTACAGGGCAGGTCTCAGTGGTGCCATCCTGGGCAAGTCATTTAAGTGTATCCCCTCCTCATTTTATAGTCTCTAAATTCGAGTTGTAAGCCCTTCCTCTTGAGTGCGTTGGCAGGATTAAATGAGCCAGAAAACATGTGCCTAGCACGGACCCTGGAATAGCAGGGGTTGCTCAGCCCATTGTGTTTTTTTCTGGTGGTCTCCCATGGGAGAAATTGCCTTTCATTGTGAAGACTCTAGGCCACTCTTCTCTGGGACCTTGTCAGTCTTTCAACTGACCCAGCACTGGGAAAGGAGATTTACCATCTCTGTTCTTATGTCAGAGCACTGGCCCACGTGCTGGCAGGCTCGGAGATCAGAGTTGTATTGTCACACGGTTCTGGAGACCAGAAGTCCAAGATGGTGGTGTCGGTAGGTTCATGCTTTTGGAGATCTGTGAGGGAGGAGCTGTTCCTCCCCTCTCTCCCAGTGTCTGTGGTGTGCTGCGACCGTGGCTCCTTAGCTTGTAGGTGCGATACTGTAATCTCTCCCTTCGCTCAAGGTCCCTCTGTGTGTGTCTCTCTGTGTTCAAATTTCCCATTTTGATAAGGCACCAAATCATATCAGGTTAGGGCCTCGTTTTAACTCAATTACCTCTGTAAAGAGCCTACTCCCTAATAAGGTCCCATTCTGGGGTGCTGGGGGTTGGAGTTATGTCTCCTTCGGGGGAACACAGCTAACCCACAATACCACCATAACTAAAGCTGATTCTGGATAGACCACCAGCTCATTCCCATTTGATTTCTCAAATAGATTGTGAGTATTTTACACCATTTTCCAAAAGAGTAACAACCTTCTCAAAATCACCGATGTCTTAGCCTCCAGGAGATTTCTAGAAACTCTTGACCTGAACAGACTCCGGGCCAGGCTTCTTGGGGCGGCGTCCTATGGAAGAACCAGTGGCGGTGAGCCCAAGCCCTCTCTTGGCATGGTTGTGCAGTGAGCTCTGGGAATGCAGGTTCTCAGCTCTCAGGGTTAGCAGAGGCAGGAAGTGGGTGTGCACTTAGCTGCTCCTGGACAGGTGGGTGCTGGGACTACCAGGACCCCTTCCAGTCTTGGTCTTCAAACGGTGAGGGACAGGGACTTCCTGTCTGCTTTTCCCTGGAGTGGAAACGCCTTTTCTCCGGGGTGCTCTGAAGACCAGGGAAGTGCCCCATCCCCTCTGCCCAGTCATAGGCCTGCTCTGGGTGAGGGCCCGCACTGGGGTCTCCGCCTACCCTGGGTCTCCACACAAGAAGGTAAGACCTGCAGGGGAACCCGAGCCTGTCGCTCCCTATCACCCCTGCTTGGCAGAGGTTCCAGGGAGGTGAGGGGTCAGTGGTAGAACCCCCCTTCTTGCCAGCTCCCCATTCCCTCCCCTCATCTCAGGGATCTGGGGGAGTAAAACAAG